TTTTTAATTTATTATTTGGGTTCACTGAGTTTTAGTTGCAGCATATGGGATCTTTTAGCTGTGGTATGCAAAATCTTAATTGTGGCACATGGGCTCTAGTTCCCTGACCAGGAATTGGACCAGAGCCCCCTGCATTGGGAGCACAGAGTCTTAGCCCTTGGACCATCTGGGAAGTCCCAGAACCTGCATTTTAACAAGGTCCCGGGTAATGGATATGAACATCCGAGTTTGAGAAACTCTGACGGTAAATGTCACTCTGCTCTCCAGGGGACAGGTGACCAGTTACACACATACTCTTCTAGAAAGTCACTCTGCATTGTTGGCATCTGAGAATATTACAGGATGTACCAAGTGGGGACCCGAATAGGTCAAGGGGAGCAACACACTTGAAATTGGGGATGGATTGGTTTTCCCAGTAGTCATGTATGGATGTGAGAGTTGGACTATAAAGAAAGCTGAATGCTGAAGAATTGATGCTTTTGAACTGTGGGGCTGGAGAAGACTCTTGAGGGTCCCTTGGACTGCAAGGAGATCCAACCAGTCCACCCTAAAGGAAATTGGTCCTGAATATTCATTGGAAGGACTGATGCTGAAGCCAAAACTCCCATACTTTGACCACCTGATGTGAAGAACTGACTCATTTGAAAAGATCCTGATGCTGGGAAAGACTGAAGGCAGGAGAAGGGGATGACAGATGATGAGATGGTTGGATGACATCACCAACTCAATGGACGTGAGTTTGGGTACACTTCGGGAGTTGGTAACGGACAGGGAGGCCTGGCATGCTGCAGTCCGTGGTGTTGCAAAGAGTCAGATGTGACTGAGCTGAGCGACTGAAGTGAACTGAGCTGAACTGATTGCTGAATTTGGACGGCAAGATAGTCATCTTTTAGTTCTAATAAGTCCGTTTTCACTGGATAAAGGAATAACTGTGGAGCACTTCATTAAAGGTGCCGAGATCTTACTCAGGGTGAATCTTCACATTCACCCAACTCTTTAAACATGGACCCACGTGGATACACTGCCAGCAATATTGCTAATACTGGAAATTCCTGTGTGGTACTGAGAAACAGACCTGTCTTCTTTCCATAATCAATCCAGGACTGATTCTACATTTCTTCCTTCTAAAGTTCCATAAGATTTTGCATCATTTGCAAGATGAGAGATTTCCTATGGGGAGAAAAAAAATAGCTCAACCAAGAAAGTCATTGCATTTAGCAGGAGGAGGCAGAAAATAGAACAAAGAGGGGAGTGGTTTTTATGCAACAGCAATTTTTTGTAATAAGTGTGGGACAGGTCCCCCCAGAAGGACATTTAGGCTGTCATTTCTGAAAGGATATTTGAGACACAGCTGGATGGCGGCAGAGTTTGAAGCCAGAAGCAAACATAGCCAGGAAGCAGAGGAGCAGATGACTCAGCCCCCAGGGCATGGGTGGCTGGGTAACTTCCTCACCCAGGGGAGCGCCGACTGTCATGCTGGCATTGGTGGTGTCCTGCGGTCATCCAGGCGCAGCCCTCTTGCTGTGCGTGAGAGGAGAACCCGTCCTCAGGCAGCTCACTCGAGTAATTCAATCACAGCTCTCTGCAGGCTGAATTCTGGACATTGAGCTCAGACAGCCCCTGAATTTTCCTTCCCTAGGGCTCTCCTGTCCCCCCAACTCCTTTTCCCAGTTAGTACCCCAATCCAAACACAAAACAACTGGCAACTGGTTTTAGAGGTCTCGTTCACGGCTGCTCAGGCCATTCGAAATACCACCTGCCAGAAGAACGGGGAAGGGACAGTTAGGGAGTTTGGGATGGACATGTACACATGGCTATATTTAAAATGGATAACCAACGAGGACCTACTGCACAGGAAACTCTGCTCAATGTTATGGGGCAGCCTGGATGGGAGGGGAGCTTGGGGGAGAGTGGATGCATGTATATGTATGGCTGAGTCCATTTGCTGTCCACTTGAAACTGTCACAATATTGTTAATTGGCTATACTTCAATATAAAATAAAAAGTTAAAAAAAAAAAGAAATACTGCCCTCAGAAAGCAATTCAATGATTTCACACCAACTTTCATCTCCTCTCTTCCTCTTCTACAATAGCTATTTTTTAAAGCAATCATGGACTATCATTTGCAAAAAAAGTGCAAGATGAAAACAAAAGCGGTATTTAATTCTGGCATTTTATGTGATTCCACCTACGTGTAAAAGCAGAGCAGTGAGGGGATCTGGTTAGTCACCTCCTCTGGGGACCTATTAGGCCTGTCACAGGAAAGCACAGCGTCTGAGCTTTGACACGTAACTTCTTCCATTCTACCACAAAAACAAGGATAGAGAAAAAGTCCAGAAGTATGTTAAAGCACACAATCAAAAAGTTTTTTGGTATATTTTATGTAAAAGTAAAAGAAAACAAGTATGGGTCTAAGAATTGTTAATAACAGGAATTAGTGAGATGGTAAAGCTGGTTACCATCTTTGGAGCATCTACCATCCAAGTGCATTTTGAGGATCTGAGGATTTGTACATTCACAGGTTCTGTGAAAAAAAAAAAAGCTCAATATGGAATTAAAAGTTCTCTGGTGCTTCTCACTCTAAGTGTAATACATGCAGAAACATTGAAAAATTGAGACGTGATTAATTGTTAATTTCTATTTGGAGGGATTTGACAAAAAGAAAGAATTATGAAAGAAGTTAATCCCAAACGTTATTTTAACCTTAAACAAGAAACAAACTTTGGTTACCTTTTTAGAAGAGATACACTGATTTTTATCATAAATGGATGTTGAATTTTGTCAAAAGCTTTTTCTGCATCTATCGAGATGGTCACATGGTTTTATTCTTCAATTTGTTAATGTGGCATATCACATTGATTTGCAGATGTTGAAATATCCTTGCATCCTTGGAATAAATCCTACTTGATTATGCTATATGATCCTTTTAATGTATTGTTGGATTCAGTTTGCTAATAATTTGTTGAGGACTTTTTCATCTGTGTTCATAAGTGATACTGGTCTGGTTTTGTTATCAGGGTGATGCTGGTCTTGTAGAATGAGTTTGGAAGTGTTCCTTACTCTGCAATGCACCAATCATTTGTATACTTGTATGAACATACTATGTATTTGTTTTGCCATTGATGGTAGAGGACTATTTGTGTTTATCATTCTTTTTCCATTTGTGTGCATGAACTAGGGGTTTAATAGAGGTGAGAGCATGTGTTTTTCCATTTTTCATTAATCTAAGTATCTATAAGCCAATCTTTATGTATTTGAAAAGGCTAGGGCTATTAGTAAAACTAGGCAAGTTTCACAATACTATTGTTCAAAGAATAACAAGATTTGTCACATTTTATTATTTTAATTATCTTTTAAGTTACTTTGATAATTGCTATGGATTGAACTGTATCTCTCTCTCTCACACACACACACATACACACACAAATATGTTCAAATTCTACATCCTACAACCTGCAAATGTGACCCTACTTGGAAATAGCCTTTGCAGATATAATCAAGTAAGGATGAGATCACACTGGAGTTTGGGGGGGGGGGGGGCGGCTACTCCAGTGACTAGTGTCCTTATAAAAGGAAGATTTGGATACAGACATACAGGAAGAAGGCCCCATGACCATGGAGGCAGAGGCTGGAGTTACTCTGCCACAAGCCAAGAACTGCCCACAGCCACCAAGAAACTAAGGGAAACACACGGGACAGATTCCCCCTGGCCCCAGCAAGAAGGAACCAACCCTGATTTATTTCAGACCTCTGGCCTCCAGAACTGTGAGGGGATATATATATCTATTGCCTGCAGCCACCAGGTTAGTGGTACTTTGCTATGGCAGCTCCGGGGAGCTAGTCCTGTGATGCTTCAGAGAGCAACACTGAAATAGAACCAAGTTTATCAGCTCACCAGGTCTCTCTGATGGGACCTCAGCATCCCTTTCAGGTGGGACCCATAGGCCACGCTTCTGCAAGTCCTGCTCCCATTCACTCATAAGCGGTGGGCGGGCCGAGGGCCCAGCCAGCTGCAGGAAGAAGGGAGAGACATGTCTCCACAGGAGACATCAGCTCCGAGGAAGAAGCAGATGCTGAGGCTGGAGCCGGGCTGGGAGAGTAAGACTTCACTAGGGGATGGGAGGGTCACAGCCCCAGCCTCTGGACATCTGGCAGGTGAGCAGGGACACAGAGCGTGTGGGTGCCTAGGGTGAACCACGGCCCACTTCTGCCTGTGCCGAGCACCGAATGTCCACCCTCGGGGGCTGCTAGCCTGAGAGCAACGCCGCCCCCAGCGAGCATCTGCCGTGTGAGCCCTGTGTTCTGAGATCAGCAAAAAGACAGCCCCGCAGATGTGACTCCCCACAACACCAGCATGCCCGCCTACCCTCGTAGGGGACAGTGGGGGACACTAAGTGTTAAACCCTCATGTCCAGGTCTCTGGAAGCATGTTTTCAGAGAGAAAGTGGATTTCCTGCAGCAGTGTGTGGAATTGAAAGTCTGAATATTTCTGAAGGTCTGGGATGGTAAATGTCCTCTGTTGATAACAGAAATGATTTTTAAAAGTTAGAAAAGGAAGGAGAAAAGGAAGGGAAGGAAGAGGAAGGAAAAGGCAATAACAAATCTCCAGAGAAAAGGGACATTTAAGAAAAAATAAGGTTTGCAACAGGAAGTGAGTCGACATACAGTATGATCATGATTTTGAAGAATTGAGGGGGAATAAGAAGAGAATTCATTTGGCTTTGATGCTGGAAACATTTCTCTTTAAATGTCCTGGGAAGAGTGATGTTGGATTCGCAGAGAAGGAAAATTAATCTTAGTTTGTGATGAGGCTGCAAAATGAGCACCGGGTATAACTATGTTAATATGGTTTGTGTTCAGTCTTTAGAATCAACCTCTAAACAAAGTCTAGAAAACTGACTAATGGTTTCAGAGCTGGACACACCTGTGGAAATAAACCTGCAGCTGACAATGACCGTGTCGCTGAAGCTGTCACACATTTGTCTTTCCAGTCAACCCCAATGTTTTGGGCACCAGGGATCAGTTTCACGGAAGACAATTTTTCCACGGACCAGGAGACAAAGGGATGGTTTCAGGATGATTTAAGTGCGTAACATTTATTGTGTACTTTATTTCTATTATTATTTATTATACATCAGCTCTGCCTCAGATCATCAGGCTTTAGATCTTAGAGGTTGGGGACCTCTGCTTTACACAACTTCTCCTCTCCTCTCCCGAATCTGCTGGGTCTTTTGTCTGTTGTTCAACACAGCTTGCAGGGCACAGCTCTGTACCCTGGTGGTTCCCTCTCTCTCCTTTCAGCTGAGCAGGTCTACCCTTCTGCCTCCATCCTGTGTCCCTCAGCAACCCCAGTGGATAATGGCCTCACTACCCATTTGGAGATGGCTCCTCAAGCTGACCACCCAGTGGAGGAGATGAGGAAAGGTCTCTTAATACCCCCTTATAAAATAAAAACGCACGCCAAACATGCTAGCACCGGGAAATTCCAGTGTCTCTTTTGGAAAACTCTCCTAAGCTTTTCTGATCTCAGCAGGGAATCTGATCTATCCTTGAATCTTCCCTGTTAGCTCAGATGGTAAAGAATTTGCCTGCAATGCAGGGTACTGGAGTTCAATCCCTGGATTGGGAAGATCCCCAGAAGAAGGGCATGCAACGCACTCCAGTATTCTTGCCTGGACAATTCCATGGACAGAGGAGCCTGGCCGGCTACAGCTCATGGGGTCACAAACAGACATGATTGAGCGACTAACACACAAGTACATTCTTGAACCTGACCTATTCTTGATCATTTCAACTTGCTGAACAAAAGCAACACAGACCTTTCTGTTCTGGCCACACTCATTATGAATCACACTTAAACTGGCACACGCCCCTTTTCTTGCCAAGAAGAGCAGAGGGACAAGCCGGTTCCCCATGAGCATCTTGCTACTTGGACATAGGCCCAGCAGTTCCCACCCTTGGCTGCAGAATGCCAGCACCTGGGAAGCTTTGGAAAATCCCAACCACGTTCAGACCAACTCCCTCAGAACCTTGGGTGCTGAGGCCTGAGCCTTAGTGTGTCTTAAAAGCTTCCCAGGTGATCCCAAAGAACAGCAAGGTTAAGGACTGATTCACAGGCTGCAGCTTCCAGACTTTTCTAGGACTTTGGCTACATATTAGCATCACCTGAGAGCTATAAAGCTGTTGATGCAGGCACCCTACCCTGGAGACTCTAATAGGTCAGGGCTGTGACCTGAACCTCAGGGTTTTATCAAACTCTCCAAGCATAAAGCACAACCAAGGTTGAGACTCGCTGGCCTTAACCAGTATCTAACAGCACTGATGGGGGTGGGGAGGAGTGGATGAGAGACCCCATCCCAGGAGCCGCAGGGTCTCGCCCTTGAAGGAAACTTCAGCAGAGACCAGTCAAGCCACAGGGCATGTGATGGTATTTAGTGGAATCCAGCTTTTCACTCACATCATTAGGGAACTGGGGAGTGGGTTAGGTGATCAATTCCCACTTTTAATTAGAAGGAAGCTTCTCATTTCTACCCTTGTGTCTCCCCTGACTGCCCTGTAACAGCGCCGTGGGCCTGGGCCCTGATGCGAATGCAGTGTTAGAGCACAGTTGCTGCTGCTGCTAAGTCGCATCAGTCGTGTCCGACTCTGTGCGACCCCATAGACGGCAGCCCACTAGGCTCCTCCATCCCTGGGATTCTCCAGGCAAGAACACTGGAGTGGGTTGCCATTTCCTTCTCCAATGCATGAAAGTGAAAGTGAAGTCGCTCAGTCGTGTCCGACTCTTCCCGACCTACCAGGCTCCTCCATCCATGGGATTTTCCAGGCAAGAGTACTGGAGTGGGGTGCCATTGCCTTCTCCAGAGCACAGCAGGGCAGTCCCAATACCCGCCGTGGTGAGGGGTCCCTGGAAAGAGGCTCCAGGACCTGAGCCCCTTAGGCATCCCTTCCTGTGGACCCCAGGGAGGGGCAGACAGGGCATAGGGCAAGGGGTTGTCGCCCAGTGCTGCTGCTCCTAGGAGTTTCCAAATGAAACCCAGAGCAGGGATGTTTCCAGTGGAAGCCAGTAATGGATGTGACCACAGATGTTCCCCAGGGCTCATGGGCTCCTCCCCTCCCCCTCAGCAGTAGGCCGAATCCCACGAGGTGGCAAAGGGCCTCGTGCTCCCCACCCTGAAGTCTGCACTACAAGCCTCTGCTTCTGTGACTTGCTTACAGCCTACAGAACAAGGAAAAGCTATGGTTGTCACTCCCATGAATACGTGTGCTAAGTCGCTTCAGTCGTGTCCGACTCTGCTACCCTGTCTACGGATTGTAGCCCTGCCAGGCTCCTCTGTCCATGGGATTCTCCAGGCAAGAATACTGGAATGGGTTGCCATTTCCTCCTCCAGGGTATCTTCCCAATCCAGGAATCAAACCCTCTTACGTCTCCTGCATTGGCAGACAGATTCTTTACCACTGGCGCCACCTAGGATGCCCTAGCAACTTAGCACATGCACCCGGTGAATACATAATGACACATAAAAAACTGTCTTGCTAGTGATGAAATAAAATTTATATTTTAAGGCAGGACAAGAAAAGTTCAACATAAAATTCTCTCTCTGCATGTCTGGACCTCCTTCCTCCCCAGTGTACCGTGTGCATTTGAATTACACCCAAACCTTGAGTGCCACAAAGATAAGAAAGCCTGCCCAACCGTGAAGATCAATTTTTTCTTTCTTCTGATGCCAGCAATGCAATTTCTTAAAAGAACAGTGTGTTTTCCTGGCTCTGGAGAGAGTCATGGAGACTTACTGCTTGCTTTGCAGGTGCTTACCGGAACTCTGTGTCCAGTGAACTTTATGTAAAATATCAAGCTGTCACTTTGACATATGATCCTTTGTCTTGAAAATGTGTATGTCCGTGTCTTCCACTTCTAACAGATGAAATAGTTCTTCTGTGCTTCTACCACTGAGGGTCTAGGTTCGATCTGGTCAGGGAACTAATATCCCACAAACTGCATGGTGCAGCAAAAAAAAAAAAGATACAAAGAACCAATGAGCAGGAAGATGTGACCCAGGACCTCTCCAAGGAGGCAGGAGAGGAGACTGGAGATGGAAGAGGGAGAAGTTAAAAGGCTCGGAGGATGGAAGTTGACGTGCAGATCCAGAAGGAGACGGGGAAGGGCCTGAAGGCATGTCTTTAAGTTCCCCAGAATGAAGACAGATGAGAGTCTACAGCTGGAGAAAGCACCTCACTGTGGATGAAGAAAGATTCTCAGACCCCATCACAGTGGAATTCAAATACACTGAAGAGAGAGCTGCTATTTCCCAGCTTTCAGATGACGGAAGCCGACCACCTACAATGAAGCAAGAGCACAGTTGACCTCAGGCTTCTCCACAGCGTACAGGGAATTTGATTTTTTGAATAAATATATCTCTGAACCTAGAACTTTATAATTCACCAAACTGTCACTGAACTATGAGGACATAATAAAAAAAAAAAATCCCTGGGTCTATAGTCTTCAAATGTGCGCTCTATGCCTGAAGTGCAAACATGCAAAGGACCACAGAGAGAAAGCAGCTCCTGTAAAGGCTCTGAGGCTGGAAGAAGTCCAGGGGTTCCAACAAAGAGAAGACCAGAGTCCAGGGGCAGGGAGTGGGAAGTTGGGGGACCACGGGGGGTGGCGGGGGGTGGGCCTCAAGGTGGGGCACGGGGCCAGGGTGTGAGTACTCGGTTGGCCTCGAGAAGGACTTTAATTTCCAGAAGCACTATGAGAAGCCAGATGGTGAGCAGGGAAGCAATGTGACCTGGCTTCCATTCAGACTATAGTATAGCAAGTCTCCTACACATGAATCAGTTCTGTTTTGAAAGTATATTCATGAGTCTGACAAAGTTAGTCTAGGTACCAAATCAGCTATAAAGCACTGTACTGTAATAGGTTTATAATATTTTTCACATGAATGATACATAAAAAGACAAAAAATGAAACATTTTAAATCTTACAGTACCTTGAAAAGCGTAATAGTACAGTGCAATAGCTGGCACACAGGGGCACGTTCACATCTTCGAAAGTTTTTGACCTCAGTGTTGACTTACTGTCTGTCCTTCTGCCTGCTCGTGTGCAAAGATCCTCGGAGGCCAGACTGGACGCAGTGTTTCAGGGAGAGGCCTCCTTGGCTCAGCCCCAGTCTGGTGGGAAGGGAGACAGAGAGAAGGGGACAGATTCAGGTTACATGTTGTGGGGAAAGCAGGAAGGTGTCACTGATGTGTCTGTAGTCAGAGCTAAAGAAAAAGCAAGGGTCTTGTCTTTGTAGGGTTTCAGACTGTAAGCAGACACTTTGAGGGCATCAGTTTGAAATATATAGAAATACTGAATCACTATGTTGGGCAACAGAAACTAACATAGTGCTATGGGTCAATTACATTTCAAAAACAAACTCATAGGAAAAAAGAGACCAGAGGCCGAGGGGAGGAGGAGGAGGGAAATTGGATGAAAATAATCAGACGGTACAGACGTCTGGTTATAAGATAAATAAACACTAGGGATATAATGTACAGCATGATAAATGTAATTAACACTGCTACATGTTATATGTGAAAGTTGTTAAGAGTAAATCCCAAGAGTTCCCATCACAAGGAAAATATTTTCTATTTCTTTAATTTCATATTATAAGAGGTTTTGGCTTTTAAAAAAAAATTATTTCCCTCCACCATGGATTTTTTAAATTTTTATTCTTTTTTTGGCTGTGTGGCCTGCAGAATCTTAGTTCCCCAACCAGAGATTGAACTTATGCCCTCGTGCATTGGAAGCACAGGTCTTAACCACTGGACCACCAGCAAAGTCCCCTCGTATCTATCAGAGATGATGGACGTTCATAAACTGTGGTGATCATTCATGATGTATGTAAGTCATCTGTATACTGTACACTTTAAATGTATACAGTGCTCTATGCCAATTATATCTCAATAAAACTGGAAGAAAAAAGGTGAGAAAAAGCAAGAAATTAAGGATAAGGCAGAGATAGGGAAGTTTGGGGAGAATTTTAGGGGAGCAAATTAGGAGCTCTAACTTTGTCTGTAAACAGTGAGTAGCTGTTACCTCCCAGGAGTAGAAGATGTAACAGAGTTATCAAGTACATGAGAGGTTAGAGTTGGGGTTATAGATCTGTGATCAATGGTATAGATAAAGTGTTTAATTACCCAGAGGGTGTGAATGGGTATGGTGCTGGGTGGGGGGCAAGCAAACGTGGGGGGCACTTGCTGGAGTCTGGTCATGCAGGAGGAGACGGAGAAGGAGAAGGAGGAGGAGTAGATCCAAAGGACACGCGGTTGGCACGGAAGCCAAGAGAAAATAGGGTTTACTTACAGGAGAAAAATTAACCTGTGTGGAGTAAAACTGATTGGACACGTCCTGGCAGTGGTGACTGACAAAGCCCTTTCAGCCTCACATTAGGCCGAATACAGATATACAATTAATTCTCAACAGATGAGTCATGCAGAAGAAAAATAATAATTCAGTGATATAAAAGCTTCTGTTCTAAAGTCCAGCGCCCATAAACAAAGACTGGGAAGAACAGGGGCCTGGCAGGTGAGCAGGGAATAGGACAGTGCGGTAAATCCCGCAGTGCACATGGGCCGAGTCAGGGCAGGCAGTTCTCAAATAAACCAAAGACGGCCAGGAGTCTTTACCTCTCATCCCTCCAAAACTGCTCCCATCTCAGTAAACGGCACCACTATTCACTGAAGGGCTCCCCCTGAAACCTAAGCAGCTGGGGGGGATTCTTCAACATGCCCTGAGGACTTTCAGGATACCTACTGGATGAGGTATGGGGTATAAACACACACTGGCAAGCACATCCACAAACAATTTCTAAAATGCCACCCTGAGCGTTTCATTGTAACTCAACTATCTCAAAAGAGACACTTTTTTTCAGTTAATGTCCACAAATATCTGCTACTTTTAAGGCACCCACCAGATTTAATAAATTTACCCATGGCTAAACTCAACTAAAATATAAACTAAAATGCAATCTAAATTGCATCCCGGGGCTTCCTGGGCAATCCAGTGGTTGAGACTCAATCCCTGGCCAGGGAACTAAGATTCCACATGCCATGCAGAGTGTGGCCAATTATAAATAAATAAATCTAAATCGCACCCAAACATAACCCAGGAGAGACATATAAATAAGCATGCCCTGGTGATTCTACCTGCACAGTGTAGGGAAGCAAACTTTCCCTCTGTTCTCTTAGAGTCTCTGGCTGGGCCCAAGACTTAAGCGGCCATAAAACAGATCGACAGAAGTAAAGCATACAAATTCTATTTTTACACATGCATAGCAGCCTTTGCAGGACAACCACCAAAGTGATTAAGCCTAAGTGCTTATATACTTCATTGAACAAAGAGTGATTGTGGAAAAGTAACTGAAATTATGAGGAAGCAAACAGAGGATAAGGGTTCTTTTCATCAGGTTTGTACAGATTCTTCTTGGCTTCCTGCATGCTAAGTTACTTCATTTGTGTCCGACTCTGTACCACCCCATGGACTGCAGCCTGCCAGGCTCCTCTGTCCATGGGATTTCCCAGGCAAGGATACTGGAGTGTGTTGCCATTTCCTTCTCCAGGGGAATCGTCCCAACACAGGGATCAAACTCACATCTCTAATGTCTCCTGCATTGGCAAGTGGGTTCTTTTCCACTAGCACCACCTGGGAAGCCCTTCATATATTCATCAAATAACCAGAGTGCCTACAACAGTGTCTGCTACCCTATACAGAATCATAACTGAATACAGGATGGAATGAACCACTCTGGCCAAAACAAGAACTATACTTTTCAAATGCCCAAAGAAAATATGAGGACAGAAAGTACAGTCAGTTTTACCAAAAAAGTACAGAACTCAGGAAGGGGCAGGGGATTATAAAATCCCTACATCATAAAACAAGATGGCAAAAATTGAAACAAATTCATCAGTTGGGTTTAAAAAGAAAATTCAATTATATAAATGTTGCTTCAAAAAGACTCATCATAAAAAAAAGATGCAAAAAGATTTAAAATAGAAGATAGACTAAAAAATGTATTGAACATAAACACAAAGAAAGTGGGGGTCATGGTATGAATTTCAAAATAAATCAGGACAAACACATTTAATGGGGCAAAGGAGGCTTATTATACTGATAACTGCCATCCATTGTAAAAGCATAGTACCCATAAATATTTATGTACTAGGTAACAGCATGACAATGTTAGAATACAAGAGGTAGAAAATGCAAGGAAAAGTGTCAGAACTCCAGTTGAAATGGAAGATGTTCATTTATTCAGGAATGGGATAGGGGAGAAAGCAGGATATAAAGACTGGCAAAGAAAATTATAAAAGTAAATGACACAAATGATTAGAATAAATGCAAAAGATGAATTCACATTTAATCAGCTGGTGTTTCAGTTCAGGAATAAACAGTTTTGAACAACTACTATATGCTAAGTATGAACTAGATTATGGGGGGGCATTTAATAAGGCTTTTCTGTTAAATATGGAATTTTTTTCAAAATAGATCATATACTAGGTCACAAAGAAAGCCTCAAACAATTTCAGGGTGGCTATGGGGATTGAGCAAGGTAACGTTACCCATTACCATTGCAGATGCATAAATAAAGAGAAGCCATCATTATAATTGTGATGATTGTACAGCTCAGATCCTGGAATACCAAACCACTTTTTTCAAGTCCTTTTCTGTGCACAGGACACTCACCTCTATTTGCCCTGCTTGACAGAGCAAAGAAACAAATTGCCAAGTTGCCAGCTCTGGGCAATGCTTCCAGACCAGGGCTGCCTGGTTTACTCTGGAAGGGAAATAACTTCATTAGAAATG